GTGTGTGTGTGTGTGTGTGTGTGTGTGTGTGTGTGTGTGTGTGTGTGTGTAATGCAGAGTCATTACCATACTGCTAGTAAAAGATAAGGAAATCTGTCAGGTTCCCCACAGGAGTTGCTGTAGGCACTATAGTTGTTAAAGTAAAGGGTAGTGTTAGTTACTATTCACACATGCATTTAGGCGACACTGGCTTTCATGTTCCACAACATCTTAGGTTAAAATGAAGCCGTGAAGTTGATATCTCTCTTTTACTTATTTCACTACTGTGTTGTTTATGGTTTGGCTTTTGTTTTCTGTTATCAGTGACTAAAACCCTTTTATTTGTGTCTTTGTTTATCTTTGGCTGAAAGATTTTTTTTCATCATTCTCATTATACTTTCAGTCAACAAAAAAAATATTTTTGTCAAGTAGATATTCAGTTTAATAGAAAATTCTGTTGTTGTTGTTTTAACAGAAATATTGCAGGCCATATATTCTATGCTGATGAGACATCTCATTTCCAGAAATTGCCTTTGGTATAAAAGCTTCTCAGATTTTAGCAACACACAGATGAAGTGTGATAAGTCTGTTAAGGGAAAATGAGCAGTCACTCATCCTTTCTAATGGAGGGTCTGGGGTCAGTCCATGGTGGAAGGCTGAATGTGACTACCAGTACACCGTCCTCATTATAAAGTTCTGCGTCTTCACCAAAGAACTCTGACAAGTTTATTTTTAAACTGTCCTGCTTAGCGCACATTTTCAAGACTAGGGACACAGCAATCTGTCTCTTTCTGCTCCTAATATGATTCTGATACCTCAACTCAATATCGACCAGAATACCTCTCTCACCTGCTGATATTGATTTCTGAACAGATACCACTTGTTATTCTGTGCTCTACGATCATTATTGTGTGATTTAACATGTCAGGGATTTGTGTGTGATTTCTAGTTTTCCAGCTGCCTTGACTTATTGTGACACTGACAAGGAAATGTTGCGTTTAATATGGATTTGTCAGATCTAGAGATGATCCGATACCATTTTTCCCTTCCGGATACCAATACCTGGACTTTGAGTTTCGGTCGATACAGAGTACTAATCTGATACCAGTGCATTAAAGAAAAAAAGTACTTATATAACATATTTTAGCAGTTGTATGCAACTAACTAATGCATGCCATAGAACTTATCTTATTATCTTGTTTGACAGTTATAACTGAAAAAGAATACAAATAAATGTAAGAATACACAGGCCACCCCTCAAAACCGAAGTCTTGCATACAGTATACGTCATGTTTTACTTGTGAGACCTTCCAGTTTGAAATATTACCCAATAGCTGACATTTTAGATCTAGCCAATGATATACTTGCAGAAATCTCTCTTCACTCTTAAAACAGAACTTGCCTGTGGAATTACAGTGCAACTGTGGTTTTGGAGCGTGAAGAAGAAGTGATTTCCTGGAAAATAAATTAGCAATTTTATCTGGGTGTAACAAATATACTTTAAGGCTGTCGTAATACATAGGTACATCGATTTGAGTACTGGCCAATGTCCGACCCAGCATTTTTAGCTGTATTGGAATCATTTCCAATGTTGGTATCAAACATCTCACGTCGCTTCTAGCCGGTATCAAATTTGCAGAATCAGCCTTAATAAAGACCCACACCTCTTCTTCAAAAAAATGTAAAGTATTTTTGGGCACTAATTTGCATTTTTAACAGAAAGAGAACGATGATGAAATGAGGAAGAGAGAGATGCAACAAAGGTCTCTGGCTAGACTCAAACTTGAGATGTTGTGTGTGCCTCAACCTTTGAGCCACGGATTTTCTTTTCTCAAATATAGATTTTTGCGTTTGTCTAAAAATACGACACAGATTGGACTATAATGTATCTGTGGTTGTTTTATCCTATTACTTCTCTACCTCTTTCTGGGTGAGGTTTTCTCCACATTCCTCACATGTAGACAAAAACAACACAAAGGTCTATTGATATACATAACTCCACATCTGTAAAAAAAAAAAACCCAACATAATTCCTGGTTTGCTGTATAAAAACACTGCATCAAAGGAGTTGTGTATTTTTTAATGTGCTGACAATAAGTCTGTGTAATGTTTTTCACCCTCTGTAATGTCACATTGCACTAATAAAAAGGGAATGAAATATATGGAAACAGACTTAGTAATCTCTTATGATCCAGAGCCTTGAAAAGCATAAAGTGAAGTCTGACGGTGATTACTAATCACTTTTACAAGAGGCAATTATTGATCTACTTTAGTTCTCACAGATTTTGCTGACATCGCACTTCTTTGTAAGTTTATTGATTTATATCATTTTCGCTTCATGATGACATTTATCATGATGGCTAAAATATTTATCATGATTTCTGTCTCTCTCTCCTCTGCAGGATGTCTCCTCAACCCTGCTCTCTCTCTCAGCCTGTCTCCCGAGTTCAACCATCTCATCGGCAGACTGAGCGCTCCTGAGTGCTCGCTGCGATCCTCCCTGTTTGGCTGCCTGGCCGACATCCCGGGGAGGTTATGCGACGGTTCGTCTACTGCAAGGTGGTGTTGACCACCTCTCTCGTGTGGGTGCTGGTGGACGTGTTCTTGCTGCTCTACTTCAGCGAGTGTAACAAGTGCGATGACAGGAAAGACCGCTCGTTACTCCCCGCCCTCCGAGGTGAGTCCACATCAGCTCTCCGACACCTTTCATTCACAGATGTGATGTCGACTAAAAGGTATAAGGAGTCCATTATGAGATAAAACTTTGACTCGGACTGGGCTGCTTCATTTCCTCTCACTGTTCCATTACCTTTGAGCTTTAATGTTGCTTGTGGCGTTTTTTCTTTGCCATGATTCTGCAAAAATAATGATGAGACATGTTGACACTTTTAATAGATAACCCATCTGATGTGATACGTAGTAACATTGTAGTCTCTTCAAATGCATTTTAAAAGTGTACTGATTTCTACACAGAGACCTCTGACTCTTAAAAAAAACCAGTGTCAGATGTGGTAATTTCTTTAACGACATAATGACAACCTAATCAGGAATAAATACAGGATTAAAGACTACTTGCTGCGCAAACAACATGGCGTGTGTCTTGCAGTGAAGTGAGATCACACTCAAAATGTCCAGTCTTTTCCACGAGGGCCAACATTTTAATCCTTTCAAAATATCAAAAATTCCAGTTTCCGTCCTCATGAAATTGAGCTCTTGATTTAGTTTTCTAAGTACTTGAATGTGCAAAAGAATAGGTGTCAGCAGTAATATCAAATCAGGGAAGCTCTTGAACATGATCAACTCTTTAAGATTATGAGACTTCTTCTGGAAAGAGCTTAAGGAATCTTCTCTAACTGGGATTACAGACATTGATAACCCCACTTTATAAGTGAAACGATGATTAACCGACAATTCCTCCTTTTGTTTCATTTTTTAATCTGGTAGACTCAACCTTCTGTTCAGGATCAGACATGCGTGTGAATTTAAGCAGTTGACTTAATGCACTCCATCTTTTCTCATTATTGTTTTACATAATCATCATCTTTCATGAATCCCATTAACCCGATGAAGTTGATAAAAAATATGAGTTTTGTGACGTATTACATCTCTATTTCTTATTTGATTGTATGAAGATAGGATTAATTCACCTTTGTAAGTTTAAACCAGTGTGTGAGATTGTGCGTGCGTGTGTTTGTGGTGCTGATCAACCTAAACCACAGAACTGCTTTAGCAGAGTTCATTTCCTCACATGCCCTCAAGTAAGCAGGTTTCTAAGAGGCTTGCTAAGCTGCTTTTAAGGTTAGAATGAGGCAGAGCTGCCAGCTACTGACACTGATTACCATACAAGTCTAATGTTACACTGCTCACAAAGTAGATGATTTTCTTAATGTAAGAACTGAGTGCTGGGAATTTTTTTTATTCAAAGCTTTTGCCAAGGTCACTGCAAAGTATTATCTTATTAATTTTGCCTACAACTGAAGAGCCTATACTCTTAATGAGGAACTGATGCACATTCACCAATCAACCTAATTTGATCATTACAGAACCATTTTTGTTTTCTGATACAAAATAATAATTATTTAGTTATTGCTTGTATGGTTCAAAAGTCACTTTTATTTTAGTTAAAATGAAAATGATTTAAAACGCATCAGAGGCTGAACTGAATTTATAATACTTAGTGGAGGCTTCAACCGTAATGCTGCTCATTCACTTAGTATGGGATAATGTTATGCATTGCCAAACTGCATTGTGGGTCTGTTGCGTGACGTTGCTTGTGCTGCATACAGGAGAGGTTGAGCATTTAATCTTTAATGCAGCAACCGAGGCACCAGCCAATCCAATCGTGTTTAAACAATCACTCATGTCAACATTAAATTGTTATGGTAAACTTGTTAGCCCACAGTGTACCGTTATACGTCCAGCAGACATATTGGCATGCAGCTTTAATGTCAAGTCATGTTTCTGTCCCTGTCCACTTGATAAATGTCATCTCAACAGTTCCACTGTGTTCGGCCCTGTTTCTGGTCCTTTTTTCAGAAAATCTGAATTCTATTGTGTTCCTCAGCTGGCGACTAACTTTGTTCATCAGTGTATTTTTCTGAGCTTCTTCTGAAAACAACCACCTTTGACGTATGTGATACAGAGGTGAGCGAGGACACGATCTACAATTTGAAATTGTCGGCATAAAACCAGCACAATAGGCTGGAAGGCACTGAACCGCCCCGTGGATTATTAGCATGACTGCGATTTATATATTTATAGATATAGCTGCTCCAACTGACAGAGTGTAAGGGGTTGTTACACCAACCAGTTGGTCATATTGGTGAGAAAATTCATTAAATATTAATATCAGTAATGTTGATGATGTTTAAATTCAAATCACTTAACTAAGCTTGCAGTATGATTTAATGCTTTGCAGTCTCTCCTCCATTTCATCAGTTGTGGATCAGGAGTCTATGATGTTGCAGGTTGATAATGAAAGCTGAACGAATGTTTGCCTCAAATTCCTGATTAGAGCAGCACGTCTCACGTCAGTCGTTTTCAGTTCAACCACATTAAACTTTATGGCCAGTCACTGCTGTTCATGATGTTTATTTTGGATTTTACATTAGCTTGACATAATAAAGGAAAGTTTTTTTGAAGGGATGCTGTTAATGTTAATGTGAAAGAAAGGATGTGACACACACACAGTGTAAACATGTTCAGGTCTTTGTTCTTTTTTTTGCACCACAGAGTAACTGAGCTTAATGGAACCACAGGAAACGTGCAAATGCTGCTTCAGGAATTCGGAAGACAGGTTAAGATATAGATCCCCATCCCCAGTGAACTTCCCATAACCCAGTCATACCTTTTCATTTAATGGGTTTCTAATATCTTTTAAACTCCACACAAAGGATTGCATAAAAATCTTTGTTACTTTTCTGAATTTTAATCTGAGGTACCCCTGATGACATCAACTTGGTTATTTTCTCAGACTAGCACTCATGATGAGTGGATTGCCTTGTGTGTTTACTATTAAACTTGTGGGTTAGTCCTTCTCAAAGCTGGTGAGGGAGGATTTTCACTTTTTCTCCTTTTTAGAAATATTGTTGTTGCTCTTTTATTTACCAATTCAAACGCAAGTTTCAATTCATTTGAAGCTGGACAAAGATTTGAGGAGGTTTATCATGAGACGTCTGCAGCTACTGTGCAACTATACCTTATCACTCAACTCTGTAAAACCTCATAAAGGCTCCTCTTGAATATCTTCCAGATAAACAAGGTAAATCCACAAAATAAATATTGTTCATAAAAGCCACGTGTGACCACTTTGTTAGAGAGGATGTCTGGTGAAACCGTTGCACATTCACCGGTATTAGTATGTTTTTTTGAAATGAAATGAAAATTAATTTTAAGTTCAATATTTTCCACATTATTAAAGAAGTCAATTCACAACTTCTATACAGATAAATGTCTGAGTCCAACTTGTCAAGAGGAATCTTGAATCTGGCAAAAAGGGATATCTAAAAGTCCAGACATGGGATTGTGCTTCAGCATCACTGAGGCCAATGTGATGCACATGTTGATGCATTGGCAAAACTTAGATCCAGTAAGATACATGCTGTATGAAGCAACTTCTAATGCAATGTGATTCAACTTGATTATATTTAATATAATGTGATTCAGTGGGATATGATGCAATACAAAATAATAAGACAAAGTGCAATTCAATATGGTATAGATGGTTTGATATGGTTTCTCTGTGTCCTCTCAAGCAGACAACAAATCAAATTAGATAAATGTACCACTTTTACTCACATATTTCGTTTTTCAAATCTTGCTGCATCTCAGTAAACATTTCATTGATGCTCTGTCTTTGTGTCTTTGTGAAAAATACAAACATAAACCACCTGCATGCTAACAAGCTACTTTGAAGGCTGGCACAGTTTATTCAACAGATATGTTCATCACATAAAGTAAGTGTCAACCAGGTCGACCACACACCCCCACTAAGGTTTTTTGTCATGTTTAGAGCTTTTTGACTCATAGTGTTTGTGGCCACAGATTTATTTGATCTTTTTATTTTCACTTTATTCATATTGCACTTTTGTCAAATATAAAACCCTTTTTTATTTATTAATTTATTAAAAATGATATAACTGGCTGCCTATTGTAGAATAAATATGTACTACTAATATTGAAACCGACTTAGTTAAGTGTTGATGGTTTGCTGGTGTGTTTTGTTGTTGTTGTTGTTGTTGTTGTTGCCGTTGCCTGAAGTTCCTTGAGTTTATCAGTACGTACAGACTGATGGACCTGAGAGGCTGAGCATTTTTTTGATGGAAACTTTTTCAAAATTCCAGCTCAGCTGATGAGCTGCGTCCATCCGATTTCATATCTCTAAATGGAGAGTGTCAGCGGCACCATTAAAAAAGAATAAAGAAAAAAAAGAGGGCACGCTCGGTCGAGGTTAACAGTCGTGCCGACCCCAGTCCATCTCTCTTAGGGGGTTGTAGGGAATCCTCTTAACTAAGGGCCATGCTGCTAATGTAAACTGTGTGGCCCCTTTTCATTGAAATCACTGCCTCTGCTCTGAGATATTATAGAAAGAGAGAGTCATAAATCCATGGGAGGTTATTTACCTTTGGCTCAGCAACAATAACAGCAGTGCTGATGTTCTGCAGGCACTTGACTAAAGTAACATGGGCGTGTAACTGTAGGATGGATTTTGCTTCCTCACAACCTGATCTATTAATACATTGCCCTAAATCTCTGAATTCATAACCTCATGATATTTAAAATTAAATGTTTCCTCCACTGTACAGAACGTAATACTCCGCCAGCTCAAGCCACAGGAACCAGGAGAGGTTAAGCAGAACCTCAACTCTCTATTTAATGTATCCTTTTTCACAATTTGTGACGTTAGATGTTTCAGACATTTCTCAAGCTTTAAAAGTGCAAGTGAGAATCCTATCACATTTAGTTTTGTTACTAAAGGTAATATACTGTCCTCTTCATATGTGCACATCTTGTAAAGATCCTCTTAAAACCCTAATATCCATTTGGTACATGCACATTGATGCGGAAAATTATGTTTTTGTCCTCTGGCTTTTTTACAATTATAGCAGAATAACACTTAACAGATTATACAGAGATAAAACCAGCATGTGTTGCTACGCTCCCCTGGAGAGAGGGATAATAAACACTGCATCTGTGGTGCCTGCTACAGAGTTTTTGAAAACCCACCTTAACTCCTTCTCTTTTCCACTGGTAAGAATGAGTGAATAACCGACAGACTGGAGTGAGTGAGGTCAGATAATTCATTACTCTATATATAATAAATATTGGTGCAGATGCAAAGGAGGGGGCGGATCCAGGATTTCTTTTTTTGCAATTACTTTAACATTGTGAGATGGAACGTTTTTCAACATTCTCACTGGTTTCCCAGAGGAAAATTCATAGGTATTGATTAAAAAAAAATCAGACATGTTTTGGGTACTGATGTTAATGAGCCTTGGCAATTTGGTGCATAGCCACATAAAAATCTGGATTAATTGAATTTAAATGTGGTTTTATGAGGGGACTGTTGGACCTTGGCAGGGGTTTGGTGCTTTTCTAGTTTGTCTGTTAGTTGGCAGCATTACACAAAAACTACTGGATGGATTACCATGAATCTTGCTGGGAGGATGGGTCAGGGAAGAACACAAAACCTTTCGGTATTATTTCTTTGCAGTTTTTCAACGTTTTTACTGAATCCCCAGGGAATAATGTATCGACTTCATGAAATATCATCTGGCATTTTTACATATCTGTTGGGCCTTGGCGAAAGAATATGCCCTACTGAGTGACATTCTAGTTGAGGAATACAAATTTTAATTTGGATTTGCCCTCATCAGATATACTTCTGTTTTATCCTCTGTTGTGCAGCGGTGATATCTCGGAGCCACGAGGGTCCAGGCGAGATGGGCAAGTCAGTGAACATCCCCAAGGACGAGCAGGAGAAGATGAAGGAGCTCTTTAAGATTAACCAGTTCAATCTGATGGCCAGTGACATGATCGCACTGAACAGGAGTCTGCCGGATGTGAGGTTGGATGGGTGCGTATAAGCTTGGGTGTCTTCCAGATGAATGCTGTTACTTACACTTCCAACACACCACTAGGTGGCTAGGTTATGCACTTAGTTCTTTTCCAAAGAACAATTTCTCTGATGCGTGGCGTCATTTCGGGTGGTCACGCAACTCCCAACTTTTTTAATTTAAGGCAGGCGGTGTGGTGTGTCTGGTACAAAATGGATTGAGCTGGTAGCAGAATTCTGCAAATACGTCCATCCCCTCAGACATCTCCATAACCCCTCAATAATGTCATTAAAAAAGGAATATAGAAATTCTCAGGTGGCTCCTGGAGGGAGATTGCACAGATTGTAGGTAGCAACAATAGATTCTGCAGGTAACTATGGAAAAACCCTGCAACGGGTTTGTCAACACAAAGAAGCACTCAAATGGCTCAAAGCGATTCTCCTGGAGAAAATAAACCAGTGATAAAACAGTTCTGTTTGTGTTTCTTCCTCTTCTTCTTTACCTTTTTCTGGCAGTGTTATGTTTTTGTCAGCGGTGCTATCTATCGTGGAGAAGAAGACTGCACCAAGTGTGTTGACGTCACAGTGCGATGACCAATCCGTGAAGCACCGCAGCTAAACACAGTCCTCCCTTGATCCACTGCCTGTAAACTCTGATACCATAAAATCACATATTGCAGGGAGCTGTGGATTCTTGACATATTCTTTTTATGTCTTTTTCGGGGGAGTTTTTTACGCCTTAATGTGTGTGGACTTGTATATGTCAGGTTCCCTAAAAACTGCCTCAGTGTTAAGACAAATTTATTAGACGGCTCAGCAGAGCAGCAGGGTTTAAGGGTCTTAACAGTGTCAAACAGTGATGCAAGCTGCTGTTTCTGCTGATTAAATGTTTGAAACCCTCAAGACAACATTGTTTTGATGGTTTTAATAAAATATAAATGAGTTAATTAGTTTTCATCTGTATTAATAACTATTCAATGTGGGGAAAAACCTGTTTTCTAATTATGGGCACTGTTTCAACACGGAATCCATCAGATCCCTCGAGTGTGTATGTAAGGCTTGACATTTGAATGGAGGAAGGATTTTGTTTACTGTCACTCAAGATCCACTTGAGCACTTAATGAAAATCCACAGAGCCGTTTGTGTGAAACATGAGCACATTCATCTCGGGCTGCTGGTACGCACAGGCCTTCTCCTCTCGCTCTCTGAGACATTACCCATGTAATTCAGGTTTAAATATTCCAACTGAATGCCAGCTCTCTGCAGCACTTTCATTAAGTGGACACCAAAAGGCCCTGCCAGTCACATAGGAAATAACAATGTACTTTTTTCACTCGTACATTCGACACCCATATCAAGAAAACTCCACCTCAATGTGTTTTTCAATACAGAAATGCAAATATAAAGAATATGTGTCAAAGTAAAGTAACACCTCTATTACCAAGGAACTTTAGCTGAGATTTTTTTTTTGCTCAGTATAAATATTATACCAGCTTTAGTACAGCTTAGTCTTGCATAAATTTCCCCAGCTGTGCGCTGAAAAAAAATCCAGAGCCGTGCAGTTTTTCCCTCTGGACGAAGAGGGATGATAACGTGTTGTCTTGAAGGCAACCTCCTGGCCCAGTTGTGTCAGTCAGCGCTTTCACATTGAATGGACAGGACTGAACCAGCAATGCTGTCCGCTCTGATGGCTTCTTTCACCCTCTGTCACCTCCCACTCTTCGTTCTCCCACCATACGGGCTGCACTGACCTGTCCACCTCCTCTTTATTCTTGTAAAACAGCTCATTCTTTATTCAACATGATCCACGATGCAGAACAGCACACCACACTGTCACTCCCTGGTTTTGACAGACATCCCTTAGAACCAAGGGCATGCTGACACATCTGTCAACACTGGTTTTACTTTTCCTACTTTTCTACTGGAGGTATTTGTCATTAAATCTGCTATGTCGATTTTTATGCAGCGATTGCAGCATCGGGTAGCAGCAGGATACACTCAGATACAGTTCTCACAGGATAATGAGCTACAGGCAGAGAGAGCCACTGTGACGGCTGCTCAACACTGACACCATGGTTTTATCTTCTGATCCCGCTCAATAGAGAAAGTTGTCTCTGGCTGTGGCCCTCAGGAGTGCCATAAACACAGCCAAACATTTCATCCAGAACAAATGTGAATGCACTGCACCACTAAAGCAGAGACCATAGCTAGAAAGTTTGCAAGTGATTCACAGAAAAGTTGGCTTCTAATTTACAGTAATATCGAACATACAAGAAGTTCCAAATGGGAATTGTTTGGTGCTCTGCTGAATTAAATAAGAAATGTATGACCAAACTGTAATTTATTATTATATTACATTTGTTATTTGTCACAATCTGCTAGTAGTTTAATCTAAACTAGAGGTTGCCAGCTTTGGGATCAATACCCTTTTTTTGGTTTTTGAGATGAATCTAAGAGGAGGGGCCAAATCACTCTTTGATTAAACTGCTTACATTTCCTAATGTTCTTTATATTGTGGGTTTGTGTGTGTCTTTCTTAGTGTCTGTTGTAGAGCATTAGAAAATCAAATCTCATGTAACTTAATTTTGTTCTGTTCTGCTTCTCCTTTTTCCCGTGGTCGTTCTCTCAGCTGTAAGACGAAGGTGTACCAAGACGACCTGCCCAACACCAGCATCGTCATCGTGTTTCACAACGAGGCGTGGAGTACCCTGCTGCGCACCGTTCACAGTGTCATCAACCGCTCCCCCAGACACTTGCTCATGGAGATCGTGCTCGTGGACGATGCCAGTGAGCGAGGTTGGTATACTGTGGCTAATGAGCAGCTCACAAAACTTACAGCGTCTCGTCTCCGACAGCCTCTCAGGTTTAACTCTGTTGTCAAGGATACAGGATGTTCATTCTAAAGTCATGGCTGACGATTGTGTAAACTGTAAGGGAGACAAATCCCTGACTCAGAGGATCACCACTCGGTATAACAGTAAGATAAGAAACAGCTAACAGTGTATTTTTTAAATGCAACAACAGGAATGTGAATCTGCTATTTGAAGCAGGTGACAACAAAAGCACCAAGTAAACAGACGTGGAGCATAACATCATTTCTAATATTGTGGTTTTAATCTGTTAATATGACTTGCACTCAGTGGAATGCTTTGCTCAGCCAGGTTTCCAGTCGTATTTGTTACCACACAGCAGCAGGAAAATCCTACACCCAATAATTCCACTTGATCCAGATTTTTATTTATATCTGCACAAAATTCCCCACACAAACACCAATTTTTTTTTATCAACATTGACACATAATTCTTTGAGGAAACGCCCTATGTCGCAATGCAAAAAAAAGTGTGGGGGGGGAATCCTGCATTCTCCCTCCTGATTTGGATCTGCAGCAGTGTTTAGTAGGTTCTTCCCTGACCTATACCACATCTTTCCACTATGTTCAGTGGTAATCTCTCCAGGAGTTGTTGCATAATTCTGATAACCTGCATAGCCTGCTGCATGGAGGTAATTAACAGTTATAAATGAAGTCATAAAATACAGATGACAATCAGAAATCAATCTTGAGTCATCTTCAGTCATCAGAAAAGCTCTCATCAGAATTAGAGCCCAGACTGACATATTTAACAGTTTTATCTGACCATGTGTTTCAGCTCTGTGGACTCTTGCTGTTCTGTTTCAGACTTCCTGAAGAAGAAGCTGGAGAACTACGTGCGGGCCTTGGAGGTGCCCGTAAGGATCCTGAGAATGGAGCAGCGTTCGGGTCTAATCAGAGCCAGGTTGAGGGGGGCGGCCGCCACCAAAGGTCAGGTCATCACCTTCCTGGACGCTCACTGCGAGTGTACGGTGGGCTGGCTGGAGCCCCTGCTGGCCCGCATTAAAGAGGACAGGTAAGAGTGAAAACGGATCACGATGAATTCATCAAAGTTGAAATAATGAGCCTATTCTTTTCTTAAGGAGAGAGAGCTACAGTGTTCAGTCAGTTTAATCTTTTGCCCATTCAGTCCTGAAACATGCTTTATTAATAGTGGTACGATCACATTTCACTTCAGTTGCATCATTGGGTGCTTCAGCCAAAGTTCTGTCTGAATATTGATGGGACAGCAGCCTGTCAGTCATGAATACTCTGTTAGAGCCTGACACTGCTGATAGGAGACGATTATCATTTTGCATCGTCTGCTCCTGCTGCTGTCTCAGAGGAAACTAGTTCCAGTTACTGTAGATCTGTTTCTGTGTAGACTGTGTATGAAGAAGTGTAACTGCCACATATGATTCTAATAGAATCAAGATGAACAAGGATATATTTTCAGATACGTGTTTGGGATCATATATGATGTGATCGTTAAGTTTTCTTCATCTTGGAGTGTTGATTAAACCAGATTTGTTAATTAAACATGGAATGTTTTCTGATTGCTTCTTATCAGAACATGAAGTTGCCTTTTCAGGCTTTCTGTGTGTTTGTGCGTTTGTGTGTGTGTAACATGAACAGATGGATGGATTAATAATGATTCACTTGCGATCCATATCTTATCTGAGGTCAGACACATTTATTTTCCCTCAGGAAGAGATTGGTATCATATGCCTTTTAATATTGCATTAAGAAGCCATTACACTTTTACTGAATGCTGCTGCACATGTATCGACGTCAGTAATTCTGGCTGCAGACTGATGAGATGGTGCAGGAAGTGAGCTGTGTGTTCTATACAAAATGCACATGATGGTCGATACAGGTATATCCTCATTCAACTCCGGTGTAGGGCTGAGAGATATGGTTGAAATCAGATTTGTGATATTAATGTTATATTCAATACTGATATACACTGTATTACAATACAAAACATTCCTTCAAAATCACATGTTGAAAAAATAAATGATTCAATGCAATGAACAGTTAAAGTCTGCACACTTCCAACCTGTATGTTAGTAGTTTGAATTACAGTGTGGTTGAATTTATTGAGCTGGACAAGAGCATTTTTCCTTATTATGATACAGAGCCAACAACATTTTTAGAATTCACAATAGTGTTGAATGCCCAGTTCTAGTATGAAGGCGAGAAAAAGTATTTACTGCAGTAGTTAGAACTAGTTGGTGTCTGCTAGTTGGCTATATTACGTAAACATGTTATCTCAACATTGACTCTTACACTTTATCACTGGTGTCTCTCAGGACAGCAGTGGTGTGCCCTATCATTGATGTCATCAGTGACGAGACGTTTGAATACATGGCAGGCTCAGATATGACTTATGGTGGATTCAACTGGAAGCTGAATTTCCGCTGGTACCCTGTTCCCCAGAGGGAGATGGATCGACGCAAGGGCGATAGAACGCTTCCTGTCAGGTGCACAAAGAAAAAGTTTCTACCTCCTCTGAAGCAGAATTCTTTTTTTTAAGTGAACGTGTGTCTGACTTTCCATTAAAGTGATAGTTTTGATTAAGAATGAACAGACGACACCTTATTACAGAAAAATGTGAGAAGACACTGTTGAAAGTTCTTAGAGATGTTCTCAGTTTTTCATCAGAGCTGTTAATTGGGTTTTGTTTGATGGCAGCCAGCTACAGAGAAAAAAACTTGGTTATTGAGATTTCTTCACAAGAAGATTAAAAAAATAATTATCTGTGGACAGAAATAGATCTTTTTTTTTTCTTTGTGCGTCCCACTGATGCAAACAACTGCTTAAATAGCATCTGCATTGTTCTGAATGGCTCTGTAGTGTAAGTATGTATGAGCTCATTTAATTTAAAAATAGAAAGGCTGCTCACATTTGTACTTTTTGATTCACAGTGCAATTTGTCGCCTGCATGCAAATCCCTGCAACAAACATTATCCTTAATTCAGGGCAGACTTCAACATAGAATTAATTAAAAGATAAAAGTAATTTTCCCTCTCAGGCTTGGTATCAAATTGTCAGACAAATTGGTCTTTTATTATATTCTGAATGTTCCTCAGAGTTACGCTGAGATACTAATAAATGCAGCATGAAGAGACTTAATATTACAAAAGAATCTTTTTGTCCTCATTTGTCGTGTGTCTCTTGCAGGACTCCCACCATGGCAGGAGGGTTGTTCTCCATAGACAAAACATACTTTGAAGAAATAGGAAGCTATGATCCAGGGATGGATATCTGGGGGGGAGAGAACCTGGAAATGTCTTTCAGAGTAAGTCGCACACAAAGAAAGGGGGGGGGGGGTCAAATGGAAACATACCAGTTCCCTTAATTGTATCTGTGTTTCTGTTTTCTTTTGAACTATGTGACAAGCATCTCCACATGCACAACAAAGCTCTATTCATCCTGTGCACAGATCAGAAGTGTTCTTCACTGCTCAGTATCATCAGTGTCAGGTCATAAACTCCATTCCTCCCATGTTTGTTCATCAAAAATTGTAAAAATCTGTGACTTTGTCCTGCTTATCTCCTGGGCTTTTCATGCACAATCCCCAGACTTAACTTAGAGTAGCACACAAGACAAAAACATCCAATGAGCAGCAGCTCAGGAGACAGCAAGGCATTAAGAGTTCAGAGGAAAATTGTCTAACTGGCTGGAGCTGACAGAAAAGCTAGAGTCACTCAAATCAATCTTTACAACTGTGATGAGCAGAAAAGCATCAGGATGCAGAACACATCGAACCTTGAGGCAGATGTGTGACATTAGCAGGAGACTATGTCGGGGGAAATCTGAGGCTGCAGTAGACTCAAGCGTACCAACGTTGGACAGTGGAAGACTGGAAAAACATAACTTGACCGGAGGAATCTGAATTTCTGCTGAGGTTTGGTCAGAATGTGGCGTAAACAGCACGAATCAATGATCCCAATCTGCCTTGTATCGACAGCCCAGGCTAGTAATAGTGTGAGGGGAATTTTCTTGGCACTCTTGGGGCTCTTAATACCAATCAATCATAGTTTGAACAGCTTGTCTGGATATTGTTGCTGACCATGTGCCTTTGTGGCCACAAATTTCCATCTTCTAATGGCTACTTCCAGCATGTTAATGCACCATTTAACAAAGCAAACGTCATCTTAAACTGTTTTATGAATTAAGTGAATTTAGAGAACTTCAGTAGCCTCCCCACAGTCACCAGCTCTGAATCTGGTAGAACCTCTGGGATGTGGTTCAACAGGAGATTCACAGCATGTATGTACAGCTGACAAAGGTGAAATCATATCAACATGGAGACCAGACTCTCACAGGAATATTTTTCACATCTTGTGGAAGGTCTACCACAAACAATAAAGGTTGTCGTGAGAACAAAGGGACGCCCTACCCAGAATCAGGATGATCTTCTTACAGTGCACAGTGCTTGTGTGGGTCCAGTTTCAGAAAGGCATCATTACTGTCACAAGAAAAAAAGGTGCAAGATTTGTCACTGTGGTAATTAAAAACTGAGTAGAAGCTTGTTCTGGCCAGGTCCGTCCAGCTTGAGCTGTTCGATATGTTATAAATAAATCACACAACAAAGACAGAATAGTCCATTTGGGGGAGAACTTTGGTCGCACTATGACCGTAAAGTGCTTTTATCACTCAACATGTAGTGTAAGGCTTGTTGATAGCTGTGTAGTTAGCACAACACAACTCTGTGTCTCCCACAGAATTCAACTCAAGCTATGGCGGTGGCTGTGGGGGGAGTGGGCTGCCACAGTGGAGGTAATTAATGGGAAACGCTGCTCCACTCTCTGAGCAGCGAACAGCTCATCCTCACAAAGTGTGAGTGCCGGCATCTTTTCGCTTATGTTTAAGCAAGTAGAGGGGGGGGGCAACCTGAGTGTGGGGTATGCACCCTTTCACCCCTCCCCCCACATTAAACATTTTCTAATACATTTTGAATCAGCAAACACATACAATCTTAAAACTGTGACTCCTACTCCTGCATTGGTTTATTTATGTCTCCAGTCTGTTCACTGTGGTTTTGCTTTAATGCCTCTATATCTACAGTCTACTATATGTGTGCTGCAGTTGTAAAGCAGCCTACTCTGCTGCAGCATCCAGTGACGAACAGATTTCTAGTAAAACTGTCCGTCATTTGATGATCTCTTATTTCCTCTCTCCTCCTGAAAGCTGCACTGCTCTAAAATTAAGAGCAAACTGTCGTGGTGGCGGGTTTAATTAATTCCTTTGTCATATGAGCACCTGAGCATCAATTACGGGAACTGGCGTGTACCCAATGTATTGTAAGCTTGAACTGACTGTATTTGTCTGCTTTCTTGACGCATACTGTATGAATTCAACACGTGTCTGCAGATTTGGCAGTGCGGGGGCTCTTTGGAAATTGTCACATGTTCCCACGTGGGCCATGTTTTCCGGAAGGCCACCCCATACAGCTTCCCTGGAGGCACAGGCCAAGTCATCAACAAGAACAACAGGCGCCTGGCCGAAGTCTGGATGGATGATTTCAAAGACTTCTTCTACATCATATCACCAGGTACAGAGCAAACAAACTGCCTCTGACTGACTGACTGCGTCCTTCTGTATAGTAGGTTCAAACAATTAGGATTATTGGTGCAGTGCCTGTTTGTTTGTTTCAGCTCGATATAAAACATTACAGCACCAGAACGAACACTGTGTGCTTTTACTTTGAAGACAAATCGCTAAAGAGAAAGGAGTTGCCTGTGTCAGTTCAATATAGTGAAATAAAAAAAATGAGATTATCAAAACGATCTGGCAGGACATGCATTATTGGCAGCAGGCTGCTAGTTGACGGCCACTGCTGTAGTGTCTGAGAATCTTACCAAATTTGATGTTTCACTTCCTCTGACCATTTAGGACACAGATACCAAGTGTTAAGTTGATAAGATGATTGACTTGTAAAATATTTGTTCCACTTCCAGACGGACAGACAGAGATTTGAAATAGAGGGTCGATTAGTAGGTAGATGCTGAGATGACATGAATTCTTCATGTTCTTAAAGTTTATTCTTGATTCAGAAATGTAAGAAGTTTCATTAATCAGTACTGCTGTTCAAAAGCAGATATGAATAATCTGCATTATGAAACTCCTCTGTGCTACTTATGTGCTTGTTCATATAACATTCACCAAAGTGGTGTGAAACGAAAGCACTTTTCTTCTCTTATTGGTTCATTGTCTTAATGATACTCTTTCTTTCATCTAAGAATTTAGTTTTTTTCTTTCATTATGCTTCACATAGGAATTTAATGCTGCTTTTGTCATCTGCAAAGATGAATTAATTAGCCCCTCAGAGCTTAAATGCACACGGACAAACTAGAACAATACGACTGTGCGAGACCGAGAGATGAGTAGCTCTCCATCTGTTGATTAAGTAATGTGATTACCCTTTAGCAGTGTCCCGGAAATCTCAAGTCAACCTATACGGGATCATTCATAATCTGCTGAATCTTGTAGCACGAATCGTGACCTTCCCATTGTCTGGAGCGGTATTTTCCAATGGTGAACTGTGTGCAGACAGGGCTGGGGGTTGTGATGGATGAGCCTCTCTGCATATCGTGGCCCTGGAACGGCTCGTCTGTTCCTCCAGGACATTAGGGAGAATGATCTTGGCCACGCTGCTGCCAGACCTCGCTTATTGGCCTCAGAGCAACACAGTATGATGCTCGGGCTGAATTTGGGAGTGGCGTGGAGTGATCCTATTAAAAGTGCATCTCCCCTCCTCATCCCTCCTCTTCACTGGTGATTTCATGATCAAAGAGGCCATTCATCATCTGCAACATGTGATGCTCAGACCTTTCAGACAGAGGGAGGGAGAGGAAGAGGGAGGGGGGGAAGAGAGAGCCAGGGGAGGAAGAGTGGCCTTCAGCTCTTTGCTTTTATCTGCCAAATTGAAATCTCTATTTCCCAGATTAAAGTATTTGATATTGTAGGTATTATAGAAGGTGGTGTTTGCATTGTCTGCCTCGTGTTTGATAGATAAATATACATCGTCCATGTTGGTCTTATGTGGTGGCTGCTTGAAAATTATCTTATTTTCCTTTATTGCAATCATGCACTTTCATGATAAATTACACCCGGATCAATATACATGGAAGCTTTGAGTCCTCAAGAGGCTCTCTGGGGAGAAACCATCTGCCTGATGTGTTTGTAAGTGTCTGTGCTCCGTCACCGTCTTATCCTTCCTCTGTGTTCAGTTTCATTTAGGCTGATGCATCTTACAGCTTTTGTGTTCAGTGTCAAATACTTCATGACACACGTGTACCACACTTGTTACATCCTTAGTATGACTTTTCTTCACATTTCGATTTTTATTCATCAAGTATTTTATGCAACATGTAATAGAAAATCTTCCATCATGACCCATATAGCTCTGCATAAAGGGTCCCTCTGCTGTTAAGTTTTGGTGGTGCAACAAATAAGGATAACCCTTCTATTTCTAGGAATGAAGATAATATCACTCAGGAGAGTGCAGACCTTTGTCCTTAAATACAAACAAGCTGCACCAAATTTCACACACGCATCAGTTCTCTAAATGTGCCTGATTTTTTTTATCAAGTTTCATGAATTATACCCTGGGAAAATGGTGCAAATTTTAAAACATGTCTTATCTCACTATGTTAAAGAAAGTGGGGGAAAAAAATCCCTGGATCTGCCCACTGATGAAGTGGGTTCCTCCCTGACCTTTATCACACCCTTCCTCCAAATGTAATTGAAATCCAATGAGTTGTTTTTGTGTAATCATGCTCACACAGAAACCAAGTAACAAACAGACAGTGTTGAAAACATATCCTCCGTGGTGAAGGTAAAAATGTCGATACTGAGGTGAATAACATCTGATGATGTGAAGTTTTTCATGTGTCTGAATCCCTGTCACTGCATTTCCCCTGCAGGAGTGATGCGGGTTGACTACGGAGACGTTTCTTCCCGTAAAGCCCTCCGCGAGGCCTTGAAGTGCAAACCGTTCTCCTGGTATCTAGAGAACATCTACCCAGACTCCCAGATCCCAAGAAGATACTACTCACTTGGTGAAGTATGAGCTTTAATGTACTCTGATCTCCCATAATGCAGCAGATAAACCAGCTGCCTCCGCATTCAGACCGATCCGTCCTTGCAGCTTCTCGGCTCTGTTATTCAGAGAGACAATACTGCTGTGAGATAAATCTGAAAATCTCAGAATACAGGAAAGGCTGGAATTAAATGAGAGAAAAAGCAAACATCCTCAGCTGTTCGTATTGAATGCATATGATAAACGAACAAGGGGATGTTCATGCAGTTGGTATTGTTCCCAATTACATGTTCACAGTATGCATGGTGAGATTAGACTCATGTTAAACAGATATGTGAATATGCAGAATCTGTGGGCGCAGTCCGTGAAGAGTGCAAAACAAATTGAAACTGAAATACATTGGCCTTTTGATTTACCTGCATTCATATACAAATAACTCTTAATAGAGATGAGCCTAAATGTGATCTGGACCCGAAACGGCACCATTTGCAACATATTGCTGTTAGCATTTGACTTGTGTGGACTGTAAACAGTGTATTGCAAATGAAGACAATGTCGTCCTGGATATTCGCCGTCCACACTGAAAGCCCCAAAATTTTGGCCATTGCCACCAGATGCTAATTCCTCGTCAGACGATAGCGACAGGCTCCCAGAATGGTCATGGATACATTTTACACACTCTCATGGAACACTTTTGTATTGCACTTGAGCTAAAATACATTTTACAGCACCATTTCTTTGCAGAGGAAAAGTGTTTCCCTGTGGTATAAATATAGAAAAAGTAGAAACGTTTCATCAGATCATTATTTTAATAGGCAGTGATGGAATTACAAAGTGGTCTCCTTAGAAATGAAAAAGCATTTTGTGGAAACTATCTGATAATGTGAAGCTCAGGCATGAGAATTCATACTTAATTGTTTTCAAGATAACAAAAGTTTAAGATCCTTTTATAAGTTACCTCCTACTCACACAGGGGGGGAAAAGATAATTAAGTGGCCTGAGTTTGACTCCTGATGCCCACGGCTCAAGCTGACATGCAGAGTGCAGCCTGTGCAAAAGATGGAGGCCACTTCCAAGCAATGTCAGCTGAAGAACTCCCGGTGAAAGAGCTTGTAATCCCTCATCACTTCATACTGCTGAGAATGAGAGGATATATTCATCTGCACTGCTCTGCTGTACTGCAGCACCTCAGCTCCTCATCTTCCTCTAAACCACCACGACCTCCACCGAGTGATTCTCATCCCCCCATAACACAGTCAGCCTCTCTTAAACAGCTGGAACCATTAGGTTTTATATGACTTCATTATGAATTCCGCTCTGTTCCTGCATGACAGGCATAATAAAGTGCTTACATACAGAGCCAGCTTTAGCTCTGTGGAAAGCTGAGCTGTTTGTGAGTAAGTCAGTGGGGGCTGTGAATATCAGTGGAAACTCAGAACTGTGCTGGTAGATCAGTTTTCTGTCTCCTCTCGTGAAGTGAGGATAATGAGCAGAACTTGGATTAATGTAACTTGGTGACCCAGTTTTATACATGATTTTAACTTAAAGTAAGATACTCACTATGGAAAACATGGTGGTACGCACGTTTTTAACTGACACAGTTTGGAAAGTCACAATTCTCAGTAATGGGGAAGTAATTTGGGCTAAACTTGAGCTAAAAGGCAAGATTTATAAAGCGCATATGTAGATTCAAGGTGCTGCACAGGGACATTAAAAACAACACAGAAACAAGATTTTTAAAAAATCAATTAAAATCACAGTTTATATATTTTTTCCAGGCAAAATAAAATAAATTAAAAAGAGTAGAATAAAAGGTAAAGAGATTAAAAAATAAAATAAATAAAAAGGATAAATATTTATAGAAATATTAAAATAAATTGAAGGAATGAAATTAAACTTATGAAATGAATAGAACTATACAATACAATAGTTAGACATGTTTTAAAAGGTTCAATTGCAAAGTTCAGTGTAATTGTGTGGTAAAGACGAGACATTTTTAATGAGAAACATTGAGCAGGGTCTGCCTGGCTGGTGTTCTGTTGTTGCTGTTCTGTTGTTGCTCAGAGAAGCAGCCTGGCGTAATGGATTTATACCACAGCATGAATAAAACCAATTGTTACGTTTTGTAAACTTGTATCGGTAAAATGGAATATGAGGAAGGTTTGATCGTATTAAAAATGAATGTTGTGCTCAGAGAAAAACTCTAATTTAAGTTGAGCCAAATAAAGTTCTAACACTGTGAACTTCTTGCTGGTAGATCAGAAACGTTGAGACCAACCAGTGTGTGGACAACATGGGAAGAAAGGAGAACGAGAAAGTTGGCTTTTTCAACTGTCACGGTATGGGAGGCAACCAGGTGAGGAAAACACAAACACATTTCATCCTATTTACCAAATATATCATGACATCACATCACAGTTACATATAGTCCCCTCAAATAGTATTTCAAGCTCCTCTTTTCTGTATTTTTGGTATAATCCAAGTCTGTAAGGGACTGGTTTTTTTTTTACTATACATATCATTTAAACTGGAGACAGTACTTTACAGCTGCTGTAAATGGAATGTAGATTTTCATCTCTTTTTAAATTAACATTCAACCAACAGAGCTTTTGATAATTCGTTATCTGAAAAACACGAGAACTTGAGCTCAGTTTGGATGCAAACTTTGTGTTTATGTCAATCCACAGTTTTTCAATCCAATTTAACTCTGGGTTTTTTGCCAAGTTTTTCTTTGCTGTCTCCAGAGTCCATTGTTGATGTCGCTCCATGCTGTGGGTCACTTTGCTATTTTAAGAGGATTCGTGCCAAGGCGTCATTTGTATTTTGGTCTTATTATAGTTTCCTCTGTCATTACAACTAAAGAAATACTGAAAACACAGAAATCATATCACACAACCCAAAAAGCCAAGTTTTAACCAAGTTTGGCAGCACATAAATCATGAAGAAATCTACAATCAAATCAAGGACGAATGTATTGAATTCTGTGATAAATCCCCACTGTTTCCTGGATGCAGGAGGATGATTAATGTTTGTGTTGCCAATGTTTCTCATCCCCTGACTGAGACGTCTCGTTTCAGGTGTTCTCATACACGGCGGATAAAGAAATTAGGACAGACGATCTCTGTCTGGACGTCTCCCGCCTCAACGGACCCGTCGTCATGCTCAAGTGTCACCACATGAAGGGAAATCAGATGTTCGAGTACGATGCTGAGGTGGGATCTTTGTTCCCCCAAAGTAGCCAGATAATCCCTATTGAGGTTGTTATTGCAGGCCGCTCCCTGTCGGTTGCTGTATTGAGAGAGACTTAGATGAAATGCTGATGGATTGATTCTGTGTGTCTGATGAGATTGCTTGTGCAGGAGAGTACATGGAGGATTTTGGTAGTGCTTAGTGGGAAATTCAGTTGACCTGTGCTCAGCCACCAGGTGGTGGTGTATACCAGTTTTTTTAGCAGCACACAAGTTGAGTGGTTTTCCAGCCTGCAGCTTTTTCTCTCCTGATGTTCTTTATGTTTTACATAGTATGTTGGCAAGTGGGAATATGATTTGGAGGTAAGATTTACACGTCATCACCTTCTGAGTGTTGTTCTATAGTTGTATTGCACCTGTGTGTCCACAATGGTGATATCCTGTGTCAGTTGTGGTCGTTAGAGTTTAAAGTGCTCTCACCGTGGTATGGCGTTTATGGTATTTCCTGTAGTGTGACTTATAGATTGTTTGTGCATATATGGTCTGCTAAGTGACAAAGTCCTTCTCTCCCTTAGGAAAACACTGCTTGAAACGCCTTGTTACTTTGCATTCAATGTCAATTTAGTATTATCTGTTATCTGCGCATATCCCAACATACTTTATCTCAAGGCACTTTAAAGTGTACGGTTGAAATTTGACATCAGTTTGTACTATGAAAAAACACTAAGAGACAGTGTAGAAATAAAAAGTTAATTTTAACAGGAAGAAACCTCAAACAGAGCGGACGTCTGCTTCAGCTGGTTGGATTGAAAGGAAAAGAAAAGGGAGAGAGTCCAGGACCTTATAGTTGTAATAGTCTCATTAATCACAACAGCAGCAATGATGGCATCACAGGTTAATAATGATAATGCAAATAATGACACTGAGAATATGTTGTAGGGTAATAATGATAGTCATAATGATGATAGTCATAATAATGTCATAACATTAGGATAGTGATGTGAGGGCGAGATCTTGCAGAATGAAGACATGTGCTTTTTTTCCGTCTCCATCATCATGTAACATGTAACATGTTCGCCTACACACAGTGTTTACACCGATTGGAGAGAAATTGTCATAAATAAATAAAAACTTCCCATTGTGAATGGTCCTGCTGCAGTCAGCTTAGACTCCTGCTTGAATTGGTACAGCAGAACTGCCACCATTGTTGTCATGACTACAGCAGTGTTAATATTGGATCAGAAAGCAGGACAGTGTCAGACCTTTAATAAAATAATACAAATTATTTATATTTCAGTCTTCGATCAAATGTAAAAACAGTTGTTGTTTAGCTCCTAAGTGGAAACTCAGAGACATTTTGAATCTCACAGGACAAACTCCAAATATTCTCCTGAAGCTCTTTTGACTGTAAACTCAGTACATTAGGGATCATCCAACGCAAAAGCATCTTTTATATTAACAATTAATGCCCAGAGGGTTAGAAGAGACCACAGTGAACACTGAGTTATTGAAATGTCCCATCTCTGACATGTGGACCCGACAAGGTGAGGAAGCCCAGAGGCCTTTCCATCAAGCAGTGAACAAACCCAGGGAGAAACCCTTTCCTTACACTTTGTTCTCTGGGAGCATTATGAAAAAAATGAATAATTCATCAACCAGGATCTGGTCTCTGTTGTAAACAGGACTGCTGTCAGTGGTTGAAGTTATTTTTAGCCCAGGTGTGACAGTCAGGGGCTGGATCCTGGTCGCCTACAGAGCCGTTAACGATCATCTGGTCATCAGTTTCTCTTTCACACGAATACATCTCACTTTCCACCTTCCCTCCGTCTTCATTCACAACTGTAACAGATGGCTTTTCCCTTTTTTTTCCACCTGTTGTGTAGCTTCAGCCAGAAAGACGCTGCTTCTATTGGTCCGTCTCCCACAATCACACATGAACACACCAGTTACAACCATTATTGTAGTCAGAATTCTTCAACTTCCCCACCAGCTGTTCGTCTCACTCAGGTTTACAAGTGGAATATTGTGTTAGTTTTGTAGTTTTCCAACTCAGAGTTGTCAAGTCTCATTCACAAAGATCTCTCTGCTGCCAACATGTGAGTAAGACACACGTCTACATGGTTTCCAGCTTTGAATATTTACTCTATTCAAAGCTGAACAGATGTGAAGGAAAAATCTTCACATTAAAGAAAAGGTTGAATTCTTGCACTAACTTATTCAAACTGATTAGAAACTTAACATTTGAAACTTAATTTGTTCAGTTTTGATTTGAAGAAAAATGGGCAAACAGTAGTGGCCTGATCCAAGGAGGTTATGTTTTGTCAGGTATTTAGAAGGGTTACGAAAAAACTACTGGACGGATTTCTACGTAAGTGGTTGGAAGAATATTCTGTGTGTCAGGAAAGAACTTTCTATAATTTTCTTTTATTGTTTTCACTTGTCTTTATTGTGCAAATATTGGATTATGTTATTGTCTCATTTCAAATATAATTTTATTAAATATTGATCTGATAATATTCTTATGCATCGAGATCTATTACCTCATCTTGATTTTAGTGTTTTACATTGTGTGGCAGTAACATAAGAATGTTGTTTCACACAGTAACTTGAATTCCTAGGAAGGGTCCATGACCAAAACGTTGTGTAATGGACTAATTAAGTACTGACAGTGTGCAGGAATTCAACCTTTTCTTTCACGAGTCATGAATTTTTTAAATACAATATGCTAATGCAGCTAAATTTTCAAATTTTAATCACCTCTTATTAAACTGGAAACCTTCAGTTCGGATGGATTAATAAATGATGACTCCCGCACTCACCTTCACCACAATGTCTCCCTCTACCCCCCCGACACGCTGCAGAAGCACACCTTCCTCCACATCATCACCCAATCATGTCTGACCCTCAGCCGTCTGGAGGACGGCACCTATGGCCCCACAGTGGAGTACTGTAACAACAGTCCCATGCAGGCCTGGATCCTCCGCAACTACACACGTCTGGAGGTCGCTAAACGCCTCTACTTCAGCCCCACCGATTATGTCCTCTGAGCTCCCGTCAGCTCTGCAGGGACTGTAGGTGCTGAGGTGAGCAGGTCAGTGCAATGTAGAAGCTGGTCGTCCTTTTAGCAGCTCCATAGTTGTAGCATTGTTAGAAGTGGAAGTAGAGGAGTTTGACCTGTTTGAGCTCTAACAGGCCCCAGTGTAGCTGATTGTGGTAGTATAGTGTGTGGGAGTATTTTTACCTTCGCCAAGGAGGTTCTGTTTTGATGTTTGTTTGTTTGTTAGCAGGATAACACAAAAACTCCAGGATGGATTACCATGAGATCTTGTGGATGGATGTGATATGGCTCTTGGTGCAGATCTGAATCGGAACAGATCATGGATTTTTTTTAATCTGTCTTAAATGTTTTCAATAATTTCCCAGGAACAAGTTCATGGATCTTGATGAAAACAAAAATCTGTCATGTTTCGGACTTTAGTTACACCAGTTACACCAGTTCAGTTCATTGAAATCAAGGGGACTGTTGGACTTTGGCAGAGTTATGCATTCTCCTAGTTTTAAATTCTTTTGTTTGTGAGAGCAGATGAGTAGAGAACGTATTGTTATGATGTTGATCTTCCAGCTGTTAATCACAATGAGCATGCAGATTGTTTTAGGAAGCATTAAGTAGCTTTTACCGGTGACCTTTCAGGGAGAAGCTATAAAGACAGGGGCAGGAGCACATCAAGCAGTGACAGATGTCCCATTAAGATGGTTGTGGTGTATAAGATGCTATCCGCAAAACCTTTCGCCAGTCTTCATGCTAAATTAGATCTCATTTGACATTTATTTTCCAACATAAATATTTTATTTTAATGGGAAAACTCACTGGCTGTCCCTCAGACTGCCAGCGCTTGCTGATTGATGCCTGAGCCAGAGGAGGACGTGTTTATTTTTAGCTGATTATGTACATGCAGGGCTGATTGAAACGGGCTTGCTATTGTTTTCAAGTTCTTTTCAAGTGATCCTTCATTGTGAGGCTACCTTTCATGGTCCTGTCCACTCAGGCCACTCTCCTATTGACCTGAAGCAGCTGTGTACACTGTGTGCCATGTACACATTGTAAAACCCACTGAATCCCAGTTTCAATGCTTTTCACTGGTCCCACTGCGCATTTACATACTTTTTTGTGAGGACAGTTTTCTGGCTCAGCGTTTCTGTCAATTTCAGGTCGGTTATTTTTCAGCTTTTTACAGTTGTAGTGCCTGTCTGTCATTTACTCTGCATCCACTTCTGCACCGCTGAGTTATCTGGAGTTTGCACCTCAAATTCTGCATTGTTATCCCCCTGACAATGAGCTATTTCACTGTAGCACGCCTCAGTTTTTGTGTCCAAGCAGGGAAATTGTGTAAGGAGCTCCCAGGGCTGCTGGTGTGTGTCAGAGTTGCAGCAGTAAAGTGACCTGCTGTTAGATGGCCTGATTTGCTGTTCACACTCTGAGGTCCTTGTGGCATAGCCAGCACAAAGAGAGCACTCGAACAGCCGGGCAATATTGGAGTAAATGAGATTGTTGCCCCATTCTGCCTCCAGTCAAAAGAAATGTGACGTTCGTGTATTTCCCATAAAAATCAGCTCAGCACTCTAGATTTCCACAGTCGGCATAAAAATCACGTCAAACAGGAAACTGTGTGCTGCCTGGTGACGGAGAGGATAATGTTCCTCAACTGGGGTTTATGGTTTTAAAACCCTCGTCATTTAATTAGCTGGTCTCAGCTGTGCACACACTCAGCGACTTGCACCAGAGACGTTGGTTCGTTTGCTGGGAGACTGAGCTGGGAGTTTTCTGTGCCCCACAGGGAGCATGAAATAACTAGAAAATGCATTTTCTGAAGAAATTGCAGTGGGATTGCTGCTCCTGCACAAGCTGAAGCTAAACTGAGGTGCTCACTTGAATTTGTATGAAGACGCAGTTGGAGCATATGAAGAGTTGAAAATGCAGGAAATGGATGAAGAATGTAAACTGTACTATAAAAAGTTTGTAGGGTTATTGGTCATTTCAGCTCGTGAAAAGATTTTTTGCAAATTTCAGATATTTCTAATTTTACCAAATCATTTCTCAGCCTACTGTTGTGTATCACCTTCTGTGTGTGAAAAATAAATACATTCCCACATTTGAATGTGGGAATTGTATATTCAGGTTTTCCGAATATGTGATTAAGTTTTGTATTTGTGGAAATGTTTTGTCTTTGTGCAGGAATAGTTTCAGTAGATGAGCTTCTAACTTGTTGCTTGGAAACTGTAATTTCAGTGTCAGATGAAGAATCTGTGTGTCTATATTATTCAAATGAGACTATGAAACCTTATTGTTAAAATTATTCCTGATCGAATTTTAATTACTCTCACAAAATATTTTTACAGTTGCAAAGACCTTCTGCAAATTACATTCCGCCAACTTTAATTTGTAAGAGTTTCTTATTAAAAGTTTCCCTTGGAAAATCCGACTCATGGACTGAGATACAGATAGATAGCTGCTTCATCAACGTTAGGGTTTTGTGTGAAGAGTCAGAAAGGTTTGAAAACTAGTCTGTTGTTAGACTGTGGGTCTTGTTGGTTGTGCGATCATGACTGAGGGGAATGTTTCTTCTTTCTGTGCAGTTTCTTATCTTTAGTCTCTTTTTCTGTCATGTAAGCACTTTCTCCACTCAGGTCACACCAGCATGTAACTCACTATTAACAGATCACTGTCTGTCTCCAGGTTTGTGGTCAGTGATATTCTGCCAATGAGATCCTGGCATCCACTTCTCACCTAAATTATGGACGACAACAAAAACACAATGGTGGCGTACCACTGAAGAGGCAATGGAGTCCGTCTTGCATTGTGTTGGTTGCTGCAGCAGTAGTCTGCACACTCACATCTTCTCCTCTTCATCATGTCGTCCGTCACACATCCCCAGATCACAGCAAAGCCTTAAACTTGGCCCAGGCTCTTATATCCTATGTGCACAAAGATATTTGCTGCCTGGCACAAGTACATTTGACAGCGTCAGAGTTTTCGAGTTTTCCTTCTTATCAGAGATACAGTGATATTAATTAGATTGAGACGAGGATTTACTTGCTATGAACTGAATCAAAGGCCAAAACGCTGCCAGAGCGCTTTTATTAAAGAGGATTTACTCGGCTTTGTGGTAGTTAATTATTGTAATACTGTTTCAATACATCAAAATCAAGTAAACTTAGTTGAATCAGTGTGAAAGTCTGTTTATTTAATGGAATACATAATTAACACTTTTGATATGGTTTCAATGTCGGACTAAACGTAGATTCAATAATTCAGCTTGATGACACTTTTTTTTATCACATTTTGTCATTCTTATTGATTTTGTCGCTTGATTATTGCTCAAATGTTTTTGTTGCATGCGTCGATTGGTTTAAAGTTGGTTCATGGCAATGACTCAGAGAATTGACCCTAAAATCTAAAAAATTGATGATCCATGCTGCCACCTCACAAAAAGATCAGGCAATCTGTCGCATAAAACATGGCACTGCAGCACGAGGACAAATTTAACACGCTAGACTGTTGTGTGCACAGACGCCACAACTGTGCCCAGAGTAGCACACACAAGGACGGAGAAAACTGTATTACTTGTCAAATAGCTGAGAAAATTCTGAATAGCTGAAAGTCTTGTGATCTGTCTCTAGTTGAATGTTACCTAAAATAGCTGGATTTCAAAGCGGTGACATTTTAGGACAAGTTGAACACTTGGTCCCTTCATTTCAATCGGACAGAAAGTTTGAATATTTCAAATCGTATATAAAACCTGAAAGCATCTGATAACTGGAGGGAGAAGTGTCGAGCTGCTCTGTTATTTTTGATCTAGTTTTTTGGCAGGTGTGTGAGGTCAAACTCCACCTGCTTTCTTTGTTCTAGGTTTGTTTGTACTAATGTGCACTGTAGGGCAGTCTGTAATGTGTACTTCAGAAAAGGTGTGTGTGTGCACATCCTTGTATCCAGGCAGTGAATGTCAGACCCTTGTGTTTTATAGCTTAAGCTCAAACATGGCCCGAGCGTCTCTGCGTGCTCATTAGTCTGAATAGCCTCTGTCAACAATCAAAGCCTAATCTCGTTTTAATGAAGAATCTCGGCCACACGATCAAATATTCATGCCAGTTTTAACGCCACATCTTCTTTCATGTTTGTTCCATTGTTCACTTTGACAAGGACTCCTGATAACAGGGTGCAAATTGCTGATCTGGAGGTTCTCGCCTTTTGTGATGAGTTATCATGCAGATGTTTTCTCTCCAGAACCCTGATATTTACATACAGCATTTCTAGAGATGTTCCAATACCAATATCAGCCTGCCTCCAAAACTGGTGAAAATTAGTCGAGTACGATGTGATAGTGATATATTATGATAACACGTCTTTCAACTGTATTAGTTTCGCCCATTAAAAACTGCAACTTTCTTTTCCCAGAGATTTTTGCTGCTCCAAAACAGCAGTTGTGCCCCAATGCCACTGGCAAGTACTGTTTTTAAGAAGTGATTATCAGAGCGAGCTAAAATGTGAGTAATTGGGCAATATTTCAAGCTAGAATGTACCACGAATAAAACGGTGATGTGTACTTAATGCAAGGCTTGTTTCAAGGGATGGCACAAGTTTTGCCAATTGCAAACCCAGCAAAAGCAATCATCACTTCCACACAGGGTTAGTAACATAAAGCAATTTTTTTTAAATGCACTGATGAAGGAATTGGTATTGGGAAGAGAAAAATGGTATCTGAACTCGGTGGTTTTTCTTAGTACTGTGGCACCTGACATAATTTCCCCCAAATCCTCACACAGCGACGTTTTCCCTCGCTGAGACACTTCTCCAAGTCGTCTACAACTGCATGTGATCATTAGGACAAGGAAAGCAGCTAAAGTGTGGAAGGAAATTGCAGAAGCATGTTCCTTCCTTGGGAATGAGCATAAATGGTTAATCAAGGCCATTGAGAGCTTCCTTCCCGTTGTTAGTCTGGGTTTTTTTTTTTATCTCTGGAGCCCCTGTGGCAGATAGCCTCAGATGCCTGTTCAACATGCACATGTGGTACTTGAGTTCATCTCATCATGACAGGTATGTTTTTCCAGTCTGGACATTTTAAAAGGGATTGTTCTGTGTCCTGGCTTTTCTGGGTTATGTGATTGAACATGACTGAAAATGGAGAGGGGGCATTGTGTGGAGTGGAGCAGGAGATAAATGTGAGCTCATGTTGTCATGAGGACAGTTTGTCACTGCAGAATAAACAGGAAAGATCTGGCATAGCTGAGCTCATATTTATTCATTATTGTTTATACTGCTGAAACAATGAAAGGATGAGTTGATGTGTCCATCAACTGAAAATGAATCAACTCACATTGTGATGAGCAACACTAAACTACTGATGAGACAAAACGGAGTCCTTTTCTCAGCAGATCTTTTTGACTTGTTAGTCAAATAACTTTTACAATGGTATAACATGATGATTGAGCCAGAACGTCCAATACCAGGTGTCCAATTCTGGTTTGTTTGTAGTCCAGAAGTAACCATCTTAGTCTGAGAGGGTGGTGGAGCCTAACAGACAGCTTGTAGTGATTGATCAAAATGTTGACTGACGTTCAAAATCAAGTGAAAGATCATTTTCTTAAACACTTCTTGTCTTGTCATTTCCGAAGTGGCTTCATTTTTTGTACCTGAAGTCTGCGTCCATTTTTTATTTACAGTCTATGGCCACAATGGTATAAATATGATGGTATTACATGTATTGTTTTGGTTGTATTTCCCCTTAATAAGGTTAACTGTGTCTTTTAACGTCTTGTTTTTGCTGCAAAATGAACAGATTTTTAAAAATCTCCAGAAGGTTAAGAAAACCTAGAAGCTATTCATCCATTTATATTGTGAGCTGCTTCACTTTTGTTTGAATGTTGCCTCTTTTTTAACCTTTCACTATGGTGAAATAAGAACTGAATCATTTGAAAACTTTTCTGTATTGACATTTTTTTTTTCTAAATTCTTATTTGAATTTTTTATTATATTGATATTTTGAAGCCACTGATGCTCAAAAGTTGTTCCCAAAGAAATCCTTCCTATTCATTGGCACAGTCTCCACCAACAGGAGCCCTGGTTGTCCAGGCTGCCTCACAGTATGCTGTGTGACATGGGGCAGGAGTATTTCTTTCTCGTCTGGAACATCCTGTCCTCTGGAAACGCAGCACCTATTGCTTTTTCTGCTGCAGCTACAGTTACTTAGTAACAAACTGGGTTGTAAGTTGTTTTTGTGACATACAGTCACTGATGTGAGTTGAGGAAAGTTATTACAACATCAAATAAAACTCAGTGTATTTAACTTGCATTTGTATCATGTCTGTACATTCATCTATACATCTGTGTAATTGCCTGTGTCTTTGTCCGTCTCTCTCCAGCGACTCACCCTGCTGCACGTGAACAGCAACCAGTGTTTGGACATGCCATCTGAAGAGGACAAGATGGTCCCCACCCTGAGAGACTGCAACGGCAGCCGCTCTCAGCAGTGGCTGCTACGAAACATGACCCTTAACGTCTGATCCCTCACCTCTCTGACTCCACCTTTCTACTCTCACCCTAACCAGTCCCAGCTCCACAGCCTCACCAGGTGGCTCACACACATCATATGCATCTTCCTGTTGCAGCTTTCCGCTTCAATACGAATGATCCAGGCAGCAGCAGCAGCAGCAGCAGCTTTGGCTTCCATTGTGGACATGTCTCCTTTTACAGTTTGCCACAGAAGCTGCACCTGACATTCAGGAGAAATGATGAGCTTGAGCTCGTCCAGTCTGAGCTGGGAGATCGATGTGTGAGGTCTGTGCATGGAGAACACTGATATCGTTCACGCTGTGGATGCACAGCTGTTAGCCGTGCATCCACACTGTGCTCCTAAGACTGCTTATTAGCTGCTGGACAAACAATTCAACAGCAGAGCTTCTATAAGAAGAATGTTGCAAGGCTCTGCCGTGGTGTGTAGTGTAACATGCAGTGCATCGACTGTAGGTACAATCATAGGAGAGGATTGTTATAGCTGAAATAAATGGAAAGAGCTGGTGATTGTAGAGCCTACAACACTGGATTGTTCTCATCACTGTTGGTGTAAGGGAACTAAAGATATGATACTGAAGCGATTGTGTATTTTTTTCAGTCAACATATTTCTTGAAACTTTGTCTTAAGCTTCCAGCCACTGGTTGGATGGTTCCCATGGTAATGGTTGACTGATCTTTAGTGTTAGTGGGGAGACGCACTTTCATGGTGTGTCGATGACTACATGACGACATGAGTAACCTACTATCATTACTGTAGCATTAGCTAGCAGCCGTTAGCAATTTAAGATACAGCATTAAATATTTGGGAGGACCACAACATGCTTATTGTTCATGTTACTTCGACAGACCTTCCTCCATGGGTCATTTGTGGAATTGGTACAATGTCGAAACAACAATGCAACTCAGACTTAATTACATAATAACGTATGACTCAAATTTCAAGCACTAGCATTGTTGTCCTGTAACTCCATGTCCCCTGGGTAACAGTAACACCAATACTGTCAATAACTTTAATAATAAATTCATAACTTTTGTTTTCTTTTTTGGTAATTAATAGTTTTACCAAATAAATGGAAAAGTCTCAGAAGAAACAAACACTAGTGATAAACTATATCTTCAGATTTTCTTAAAAACTAACAAAAGAAAAAAACATATACAGCGTTTTGTAAGTATACCCTTCCGTTTTTTGTTTAAGAATTGTTACCGCATATGTATCCTGGTATTTCTGTACTGCACCTTCCTTTCTGCCATTGGCTGATTTATTGGTCAGGCTCTAGTTGTTGAAGTGGTTTTCTTGAGAGGCTGGAATAAAAATAATGATTTCAAACCATCATCTATAGAAAATGAATTAAATAAATGGCTGCAGGAAAGGATGAAGCAAGTAATCATCACTCTGCTCCGTCTATGATTGATTTTGAATGGCTTTAAGAGTTTTCTCTAAACGATAACACCTGATAACACCTGTACTGAAGTAAGATTAAATGCACTGTTTTATCATAAGAACATACTCACTTAAAAAAAACAACTTTATCAGGTCCTACAAGATTTCCACCTCTTTCCCTAAGACATTGCTCACTTCATTTTAAAAATGTTAAGATATCAGGACGTCTTGGAGCTGAATAATTTCGTGTGCCTTTAGAAATTTGTTTTTTATTTGGTTTATTGGTTTTTAGATGGTTTAATTATTTAGTTGTCGAAAAAGGAGACTGTTGAGTCTGTTTTCATTTGAGATGAAATACTACACCATATTGATGTCATATCTCATGAATTTATCACTTCCATATGAATACTTGATCAAGCGTCTAGTTACCCATTAATAGTTAAGCAGGTCAGTATTCAGTATATAGATATTCACCCATTGCCCAAGCAAATGTGACTGGTACACTGCATTACTGTCTGAGATCAACACATTCTGTTGTTCATGTTGACATGTTTTTATCACCATTGCTGTTGTTGTACATACAGAACCAATTATTTTTCTAAGATGCTGTAAAACTTGAACACTCCTCAGAGAAAAAGGCATTGAATGCTGACAAGATCATGAGGTTTTGCAATGTTTTATTTGGAATTGAGGTAATAAAAACCAGTGCTTACCATGGGTTTTGAAATTGCAGTGTGTTTTGGAAATCATCATTGGTCCCATGAAACCAATCTTCACACTACCTAAAGGACCTGGGGCGAGCGTACACGAGGGAGCAACTAATGGTGAAATACTATCAATGCTGCTTGAATACTGAATCCTCGCCAAGTGCCTGCTTGGCATTCAGACTAAATTTCAATCACCTCTTTTGCATTATGCGCAAACATTTATTGTTTTTCATTATCTCGAAGTGCATGGTGTTAAAAAAAGGAATGTAATGTTTCAATGTTCTGTTCGCAAAATGATAGTGTTACCTGTTTGTACATTTTGCCTTTTTTGTAGAAAAAAAATAAAACTTCGACTGAACATAGAATTTGCATTAATTTCAGTGTGAAGCAACTGAGGGAAATGCGAACACGAGCACACACCCCCCACCCATCAGTTGTTTAATAAACCTTTCTCTTGAAGCTTTCAGGAGCATCTCATTACCAGGCTCCATTCTGTGTGTGGGCTTTTACAGCTGCTGTTTTGTATCCTTTTTTCCGTGGTGACTATTCGGAGACGACAGGTGAACATGCCACTCACACTGCATGTTACCTTCCTCTTCTGTCCAGCATGTGCAAAAGCATCTTCCATGGTCACCTGATGAAGGTACTTCTGAATCGACTCATTATTCTCTGCACATTTGACATTTGACCTGACAGGAGACTCTGGCTTTGTCAAAATCTAGGAAGGAAAATGAAGGAAAGCTACAAGGTTAATGTAGGGCAATGTAGACAGAGACTGGGGAATACTCAACATTGTAACTATCTTATGGCTGAAACTAATGATTACTGTCACTATCAATCCTTTTTTTCACTGTATTGATTTATGACTAAGTCAACATTTTAAAAAATGAGTAAATTCCCTGATTATTTCACAATCTTACATGGGTTGTTTTGACCAGTCATATTTGATTTGCATTGATATGGAATAGAAGATATTTAGACATTTAGCATTTGCAATTACTTAAACCATTCGATTTGATTGGAAATCAATATTGTTGATTAGTTGATCGACTGCTTTGGGAAGAGAAGATCAATACCACTCTCATGACCATATTGCAAATTAGAAGCTACAACGACTAATGAGCTAGCTTAGATAAGCATTGACTCTGGACGCTTCCCTTTATATTAGATTTGTCTACGAAAACCAAAATGTACCGTTTCTAGGTGATTATACTGAATGTGTGCTGAATGGCTTTAACTGACTTTTTTTTGGGTGGTTTAATAGGTTATTATGTGCAGAGTTATTTCTCGACTGGTTGCCAGAGATGTCTCTGCTCCAAGCCAAAACATAGTCCGGCTCATAACCTCTACAGATAGTTCTTTATTCATGTTATTTGTGAGCTGCACAGATGATGCCAGTGTAGCTGGTTTTTGACTCTTTTGGACACGGCCACGCTGGTTGTTTCGCCGTTTTCAGTCTTAGCTTGATAATTAATCGACATATACTGTATGAGGGTGGCAGCAACCTTCTCAATAACTCTTGGCAAGAAAGCAAATGTGCAAATGTCCTGAAAAGGCTTAATGTTAATGATGAATATTAAATAGCTTGGACTTTTAATCCAGTTAAACAAAGAAAAAACTGTTATTGCAAATATTAATAAATGCAAGGAAGGCACTTTGCATTCAACAGACTGTTCTCTTTTTAACAACACTAATGCTCCAACTGCAAATGTACATTTTAATTCCCTCCTCTCAAGCTCTGGAGTGTTTGTTGACCTCTCTAAGGTAACCACTGCGCTGGTATTAATGGGTGTCTTTGTGGAGCTGACAACACATCAGCGGCTCACCACATTCTCAGCAGGGGCCCTGTGGGGACGTGCTGTTGTTTCAGACAGCCTCACACCTGTAGGAAGCCAAGCCCAGGCTGGTTAACTGGGCCTGTGAGGATAAGATAGAGGGTCTGTGGCCAGGCCAGGGGAGTCCATTAAGGGGTGAGATGCTGTAAAATAATGGCCCTAATGGAGGCTTTATCTGTAGCTATCTGTGGCTCGCTGTGGCTCTCTAAGGTCGAACAAGATCAGAACTTCTCACCATGGGCACTGCACAGCTCTCAACTACATAAAGCATAAGCTCATTAAATCTCAGGGAATACAAAACTAAACCCATGTTGAGAAACCCTGGATCATATTACACCATAGGTCCTATATTTTCTTCAGTTAACCCATTCTATTCTTGACGCTGTGTTCCTGTAGTTCAGCCTCAAATGTTACAAGTGTTTGAGTGATGCACTAAAATCTGTGCATATAAAAGCTTTGCACTCAGTTGACGGTTTATTAGGAAAACCAAGCTCAAGCTCCTGAACTGAAGTGATAATTTAACTGATCATTTTGGAGTCTGGAATAAGTAGAGATGCTGAACTGCATCATATATTGTGGACTGGTGAAATACTGTAGCACTGACTTATCTACATACGTGCAAACAATGAACCTACCACAACTCATTTAAAGGTCGTCCCACCCATAGGTGCTCAAATGGGTGCTAGGGCATTTGCTATTTAAACAAAGTGGGTGCTTGACAGGAAAATGTCAACACTGTTAGTTTGAAACTAAAGACACTTGCATGGTGACTGACGCCCCTTTGCCCTAAGCCTGGCGGCCCTAAGGGTAAACCCAGGCAATGTGAATTGTCCTCAAGTTCCTTTTCTATATCACAACAGAAGCTCACGTTTGCATTTGTCTGATGCTCGTATCCAGAGCAGCTCTCAAGGACACTGCAGCAGGAATTGAACCTCTTTCCTTCTGGTTATAGAATTGTCTCTCTAACCTGTTTCCATTAGACCATTATGACGAGACGATCTCAACACTTTCGTGCCTCGACTTCAAATAAGACGCTTTACCTTCTTATGCCCTATCTCTCCAAGTATCTCCCATGTGTTTGATTGTATACCGGTTTGCCTGTCTGGCCTGCTCAATATATGTGGTTCCATCCGCTAAGTGAATCCAATAATAGGCACAGGCAGAGTGGGGGAGAGAGAGGGGGGATAATCAACCCTCTGGATGTGCCTTTCCTTCTCACTCGAGACCAGAGAAGAAATCCTGCACTTAATTGTTGAGGGGACCTGAAGTTCCAGAGCGCCCGCACTGAAAAGCAGCTTTAATTAGACATGGACTGAGGCCATTATCTCAGTGGGGCTCAGATCCATTGCCACAGGAGGCACATACCCCACCACAAACACAGAGAATAATGTACAGTCTTTAAATGTGTAGCCAGCCTAGGGATTTAAGGGAGACATTTCTGATGTATGCTTGCAATCTCTTGAGTAATTTTTATTGATTTGCAGGGAGGAAGTGGCTCTAACAAGCTTCTCCTATGTGATAATCTCCTTTTAGATACGAAAGCAGTGATTAGGAGGGGGGGCCCTGCTGCTTTCAGCAGTAATTGTGTAGTAATCAATCATCAATCTCCAGGAGCTGTCCCACAAAACACTCCTGTTTGGATGCTATTTTTGACCACAGCATCAACTAATAAAGTCTCATTTCAACTGGGGGAAAGGCTGAAGCAGAACAATATTTCTATTTGCTTTTTAAGTGCACCTATAAAGGATTGTATAAACAACAATTCATCAAGGATAACGTGGCTATAAGAGCTAACATTCTCATTCCCAGATGTTATTTGCCTCCACAGAGGATTCGGTTTGTGTTTAAATGCTGTTGCTTCTTTCAGTCACTTGCAAAACGTCTGTAATTTTCCTCAATCACCACAAGATGCTGATGATTTCATATGTCCCCCCCGAAAGCTCCATATTTTGACCCAGTTGCTGCACCCCCCCCCATGGAATGACTGGTTTAGAGATGCAGCTTTGCTCATTCACCACATGGTTTCACATTTCATGCCAAGTATGTAGTACGACCCTGTTAGTGCTTCAGCCTCCACCGAGCATCGTTCACATCCTTCAGATCATGTTAAGACCCTGTCTCCGCAGGGAGAGAAATCATAGCCCATGTCTTTCACGAGAGGGGGATTGTTTGCTTAAAATACAAAAATCAATATCGGAGCAGAAAAATATGATTACAAGGGTTTTCTTTTTTGTGAGGAAGGGGCAAATGTGTAGAGAGTGGGTGAGAAGAACAAATCCATCAAAACCAACATGGCTCCCTCCCTGATCTGTCTCTGATTGTAGAGATTATAAGGGAAGATGGAAAATTAGAGGAGATTGTCTGAAGTGATTGGCTGATCTTCTTGGAAAATGACCTCAAGTGCCATCCAGGCTGATCCAGAGA